AAAATAAATAAACTTCTTCTTTCTCGTGTTTCTAATCTAGGAGCTCATTTGCCTCCTCCTCTTCCTACACATTCTGCTGGGCCCCTACCTTGTCACTCTTCTTCTCTTTCTTCTCTTTCTCTTTCTTCTCTTTCTTCTCCTTCTTCTTCTTCTCTATCTCCTTCTTCTTCTTTTTCTTCTTCTTCTTCTCTTTCTTCTCTTTCTTCTTCTTCTTCTTTTCCTTCTTTTTCTTCTCCTCTTTCTTCTTCTTCTCTTTCTTCTTTTTCTTCTTCTCCTTCTCTTTCTTCTTCTTCTCTCTCTTCTTCTCTTTCTTCTTCTCTTTCTTCGTCTCCTTCTCTTTCTTCTTCTTCTCTTTCTTCTTCTCTTTCTTCTTCTTTTTCTTCGTCTCCTTCTCTTTCTTCTTCTTCTCTCTCTTCTCCTTTTTCTTCTTCTTTTTCTTCTTCTTCTTCTCCTTTTTCTCCGTCTTCTTCTTTTTCACATTTCGCGCAGTTTCCTTCTAACGGTGGGGTTGGTTGTTTATTTTTTCTTTTTTTATTTTTTATTTTATTTTGTTTTGTTTTGTTTGTCTTCGTTTTGTTTTCTTTTCCCTAGTTTCGCTTTTTGTTTTTTTTTGTCTGCGTTTTTGTTTTTTTTTGTTTTTTTTGCATTTTATTTTTTCTCTGTTTTGTTTTGTTTTGTTTTATGTTTGTGTGTTTGTTTCTATTTGTTGTATTTTGTTTTGTTTTTTGTTTTATTTTATTTTATTTTATTTTGTCATTCATTTCATCCTTTTCCCTCCTCTCTTCTCCTTCTTTCTTTTCTTTTTTGTTTTTCTTTTTCTTGTGTTCTTTCTTTTTTATTTTCTTTCTTTCTTTCTTTTAGTGTTTATTTTTTATTTTTCTTCTCTTTTTCTTTCTCTTCTTTTTTTATTTCTCCTTTTTCAGCTCGAGTTGTCTATTTTATATTTTTTGTGCCTCGTTGATTATTTATTTGTTTATTTATTCATTTATTTTTTTTGTTTTATTTATTTATTTTTTTATTTTCTCCTATATATGCGTATTTATTTATTTATTTATTTATTTTGTTTTTTGTTTAGGCCCCATAGATTTGGCTGCTCTTCAGCGCACTCCACCGCCAGCAGCAACGGCAGCAGCAACAGCAGCAGCAGCAGCAACAGCAGCAGCAGCAA